TGTGGATGATAATAATAGCGACAAATTCTTTCCATAATCATAGATATAAAACGACAACGCCAGAAATTAACCATCCTCAATTGACTGCCGAAACAGGTCCCATTGTGGATAAAAGGCAAAATTGTGATAAAAATGATAGGAATGGTTCTTTGAAAATCAGTGATGACACCAGGTGTTCGCGAAAAGAATAAACATGTCCTGCTCTACCGGTAGCACCCGCCACTCACACAATTTGCATAAATAGTAAGTGTATGTTTCTTGCCTCAGAAATATCTGCTAAAAGCAGAGTCCATTGTACGATTCCAACTATACCATGAGCATGTGTTTAGGAATCACTATCATATATATAGTGATGGTACTAGTAAGTGTTCGCGAAAAGGTGAGCGTACCCTGCCCGACCGGTGGCACACCTCACAAACACATGCAAAGGCAAGTCAATCGTTCATGTTCACCTACAAGAAGAAGGGAACATTTGCTACACGTCAAAATTGTGAATTCAACAAAACAAAAAAGTATCAAAGCGGTTTTCTTCGACAATAGTTTCATGATAGTTTCATGATAGTTTCATGATAGTTTCATGATAGTTTCATTGCAAATCGCACGCCTATCACGTCGTAATTCAACACTTAAGAATAATTCAAAATAGCAAATCCTTTAAAATTATTGAGTGAGAGAGCTGGGTTTCCGCGTTTAGCATCATACCAGGCGCCAGAAATAGGCACACTGTACCATGTAAGGAAACAAACCCGACCCGGCAGCTAACCCGCTGCCCCTCAAAATTATAGCTGAAATACCAAAGCTAATGGCTTTGTTAACGAGTATAGATATACACACACACAAAATAAATAAAACTGTCCATTCTGAACGTCACCTTACTATTAAATCAACCAATGAAAACAGCCGAAAGTGAAACCAACCAATCAAAACCGCCACATTAGCTATATAATCGTTCATAACAGGCAAATTAGCTAACCAGACATCATAACAGGCAAATTAGCTAACCAGACATCATATCAGGCAAATTGGCTAAGCAACCAACCAAATCAGTCAACTTATCAACCAACAAATCAAATGAGGTCCTGTATCAGAATGATCAGCTGAGCATGTTTGGTCGTACTCGGACATTCACGCCAGTACGTTCCATGGTATATATATGACCCACGGGACAAGTACAATTACTTATTTAGATGCTGGTAGTGATAGCAGTCAGAGATCAGTATCCAACATAACTAGAGTCGCATGATGTGATGATCAGGTCAATAATGCCCCATCCATTATATTGAGCTTGGTGTAGCTTCCCTTGTCATGACAGCCCTCATTGTCCAGGAGCGTCTGCCTGGAGGGCGGGAGGTCGGTGGTTCGATCCCGAGTTCCGTCATACCAACATACCAACAAGTATTGTATTCCTGGAGGACAATCTATTGTATTATCCCTGCAGTGTTCTCTAAGTATTGTTTTGCTGCAAGATACACTTTTGTCTTATCCCTGCACTGTTCTCTAAGTATTGTATTCCTGCACAGACATCTATCGTATTATCCCTGAAGTGTCTTCTAAGTATTGTATTCCTGCAAGACAAGCTATTGTATTAACCCTGCAGTGTGATCCGTGTATTGTTTCCCCGAAAGATAATCTATTGTATTATCCCTGCAGTGTCTTCCAAGTATTGTATTCCTGGAGGACAATCTATTGTATTGTCCCTGCAGTGTGTTCCGTGTATGGCTTCCCCGATAGATAATCTATTGTATTATCCCTACAGTGTGCTCCGTGTATTGTTTCCCCGAAAGATAATCTATTGTATAATCCCTGCAGTGTCTTCTAAGTATTGTATTCCTGCAAGACAATATATTGTATCATCCCTGCAGTGTGCTCCGTGTATGGTTTCCCTGAAAGATAATCTATTGTATGATCCCTGCAGTGTCTTCTAAGTATTGTATTCCTGGAGGACAATCTATTGTATTGTCCCTGCAGTGTGTTCCGTGTATGGCTTCCCCGATAGATAATCTATTGTATTATCCCTGCATTTCGATCCGTGTACGGTTTCCCCGAAAGATAATCTATTGTATTATCCCTGCAGTGTGCTTCGTGTATGGTTTCCCTGAAAGACAAATCTATTGTATTATCCCTGCAGTGTGCTCCGTGTACGGTTTCCCCGAAAGATAATCTATTGTATAATCCCTGCAGTGTCTTCTAAGTATTGTATTCCTGCAAGACAATATATTGTATTATCCCTGCAGTGTGCTCCGTGTATGGTTTCCCCGAAAGATAATCTATTGTATTATCCCTGCAGTGTCTTCTAAGTATTGTATTCCTTCAAGACAATATATTGTATTATCCTTGCAGTGTGCTCCGTGTATGGTTTCCCCGAAAGATAATCTATTGTATTATCCCTGCAGTGTCTTCTAAGTATTGTATTCCTTCAAGACAATCTATTGTATTATCCTTGCAGTGTGCTCCGTGTATGGTTTCCCCGAAAGATAATCTATTGTATTATCCCTGCAGTGTCTTCTAAGTATTGTATTCCATCAAGACAATCTATTGTATTATCCTTGCAGTGTGCTCCGTGTATGGTTTCCCCGAAAGATAATCTATTGTATTATCCCTGCAGTGTCTTCTAAGTATTGTATTCCATCAAGACAATCTATTGTATTATCCCTGCAGTGTGCTCCGTGTACGGTTTCCCCGAAAGATAATCTATTGTATTATTCCTGCAGTGTCTTCTAAGTACTATATTCCTTCAAGACAATCTGTCGGATTATCCCTTCATGGGTCTCCGTGTATTGTAACTCCCTGGCCTCTGACGCTACTGGCGCTACATTGCAAGGAGACTCAACATCGACTGAGGTGCCGGCGCCGGTGTAATTGTGTCGGTCTGGCTGTCCCAGGAGGTAACAGTAATTATCACAAGTTGTTTCATTACCGCCCCTTATTAACAATAAAGCAACCTGTGTTTAATTCAATAGTCAACACGTGTCCTACAATGAGTGCTCCCTGCGCACTGGGGCGATGACGAATGACCCATGGCGCTCCTCTCACGAGTGGGCGGTTTGTGGCAAATTGTTCTTGTCAAGCCAGACTTTTCCTATCTATTTTTTTGGTTTACAAATTTGTGGCCCAAGTACTAGTATTCAGGCAGGTAGGTCGAAAAAATATTTACACATCCAATCTCAATATAAGTTTTTAGTTTTAAGATACATTTTAACAGATTTTAAATATGGTATTTTAAAATATTCATTTAAATTGATAGCGACAGTAAATGAGGTTTCCCTTTTACATTTTATTTATTTCTGGTTGGCAAAGGAAAAGAAGTTTTTCATTTTTTTTCAAATTTCAATATTTTGGATTCGTATTAAAAAATCGTAATGCAAGTTTTACAAAATAATGTTTTAAAATACATAGCGGGAACTGTACTGGTATGATGTTGTTAACGCTAGGGGTAGAGGAATTCTGATAAAAGGTATCTACTCGTGTTTTGTGAGCATGTTTCTACATTAGGGAGAGACTTTACTTAATGACGTAATCAGTGTCCTGTGCGCAACTGTGACATTGTCCCTCTGTTATGAGGTTAATCACACGTGATAAATTGATATACGTCATACAGTTGAGTTAAAAGAAATGTAGGTTTAAATGGCTTAAATCTAATTTGCTGGGACTGGCAATTATCCAAGCCGAGCACCCCTTTAACATTAAAGTGAGTGTACTACTCAATGGCCATGTGATAAAAATATTACAGTATCTTCTCGCACAGTCGTCGAACTACGACTGATGGATTAAGTCTTGTTCTTCTATGCATATATACTACTCAATAGAAGTTAAAGAATACCCGATTTTTTCAAATGACATTGCAGATTAACTATAGGCATATGAAAAAATCGGGTGTTATTTTACTTCTTCTGTGTAGTATATTTTCTTATCAGTTTTACATTTCATATGAGATATTGTTCTTTGGTGTTACAGAGTGATATAAACGATTGTATCCATTTTAGATAAATGAATGAGTTAGAATAAAGCTACGTAGAATGTTGCTTGTGTCACGGCGTTTCAGCGTAATGGCGGAGGACCATCCCAGGTTACACGGGTCTTAGACATTTACAACGTCATGTACATTCAAAACGTCATCGCCAGAGATTAATCTCGAATATATGCCGAAACATATACCATAGGGCGTACAGAGCAAAATAATGATGACAGTGATATGAATGGATCACTGACACAGCTTCCGAAACGGTAACTCGGTTTGGGATGACATGCCCCGGATCATAATCGGGCTGAATCTGGGATTCGAACCCAGAGTAGGGTATATCAGAGGAAGGCATCATCATCATCATCATCATCATCATCATCATCATCATCATCATCATATTTATTTATTTATTTATTTATTTATTTATTTATTTATTTATTCATTTATATAGCCCATTTCCAATTCATAAGTGAACAAATATTTTCAGACCTTGATAGATCGTAGTTTTTTTACAACCGTCAATGTGCACTCGCGTTTCATGCTCAGCTCCCTGGGAAGTATAAAACCAAAGCAATTCGTGATGCGCTGGAAGGTTAACGGACACCATATCCTCCTTCCGAGTAGTTTACTGACTGAGAATTATGTATATCAGGGACTGGTTACGGTGTGTACCAAACATCATGCCCTAAAGATATACGCACTGTGAGGACATCGGACACGAGGAAGAATTATTAGACACTCACAGTTATAAAAGCCAGCTAATAATAACCTGAGTGAAAGCCAGTCATAAACACCAGGAGGACTTTAACAGAATATTTAAATCGTATATATAAATATTTATACTTGATGGACAAAAACATCAGTGGCAAAATGTATCGAATCCCTACTCCAGCAACACGTATTTTTACTCCATTCTCATATCATGGATCCATGGAGCCATATATTTCGTTTACAAGGTAATAATACAAGAAACTGTAAAAGAAAGAAAAACGAGAAAAAAAAACATAGACGAAAATATAAAATCAAAACGAACACCTACCTTTCTACTGAGTGTGGCCGCTACATGCTGTACTGGCGTATAGAGCGTTTGTATAATCCGCTATCACAGCGCAATCTCCCTGCAAATTGGCCCGGTCTGCTTGACTAGAACAACTAATTGTTAAAACTTTCCCACGGGGCGCAATCTCTCACGTGATGTTAGTTTTCTTGACAACATTGTGCATGTTTAACTTCACCAGTGTTGAGTAGTGGGCGTGTTAATGCACAGCGAGGTCGATGATGTTGATGTAGGTGGATACCGCATCGTCCACGACGTTGCTACAGCCACCTGAGTTGAATATACACATGCGGCCCATGATGAAGATGTAGGTAGTCCCGGATAGAGAGCTTTCTGAAGACCCGGAGATTCTGAAACAGAAGGGATGGATTGTACCTACATAGTGAATGTCAGAGCGTAGTAAGGCAGATGTAGAATGGGTCTTCAGCAACCCATGCTTGCCGTAAAAAGGCGACTATGCTTGTCGTAAAAATGCGACTAACGGGATCGGGTGGTCAGGCTCGCTGACTTGGTTGATGCATGTCATCGATCTCAATTGCTCATGATGTCAATCACTGGAATGTCTGGTCCAGACTCGATTATTTACTGACCGTCGTCATATAGCTGGAATAATGCTGTGTGCGGCGTTAAACAACAAACAAACAAACAAAGTATGGCATAGTTCAAAAGATTTATACATTCCTATAGAATTACATCAGATATATGCAAATGAGTCCTTTCCTCTCAATCCCTAACATCACGTGGTACATGATATCAATTTGATGAAATATATACAAATTGTGGAATAACTTTAAGAAAAATATGTTTGCGGTTATCGGTGGCGCTGTTCTTGGAAGTTTGACTATCAATGATAATACCATTCGTGAGACAGTAAATGCGGATGGCATATCGAGTTACAAAAATGCCATCTGTGTCATTCCCCAAGTGCTTTTAACATTGATGAAGCAGTAAAAAATCATCGTTTAACAAATTCAGTCGACAAAATATCGATATTTCATGATAAATTGCATTTGAATTAGTGAATCTTTAAAATTTTATTTATCATTTGGAACAAATTCTATTGTGTGATTGTTCCTAATGTTCATTGCCAACTTCGATGTGATTGATTCCAAGATGCCCTCAGAAGAAATGGCATCTTGTGACATGTGAAATTAATTTGTTTGATCGTACGGAAGGAATGACGAACTTGGCATAAATTTTTGGTATGGAGGATGCGTATACATAATTAATAAAGAATATTCACAAATGTCTGAAATATTTATCCGAAATTCCTTTACAAATATCAATATAATATCGCTTGTCAGCTCAAGCTATGCATTGGACATATCGCTTGGGCGAGATCAAGCAATGTCCCCAAGGAGATATGCTTCAATGAAAAATGCATCACAATGCCTTGCAGGCCATTGTGACGTCATCGGTTTCTATGGCGTCACAACTAAATGACAGTCCCAATCTCTCTGCCACTGAATCAGGTAAGCTTCACTCTTTACAGTAAAGACGCTGGGTATTACTCTTTACAAACTGAGAAGGTTAGAAAAGGGATAAATTAGAATCTTATCGTGTCTTTATTATATCACATATATGAAACGAGTGACATTCTCTATATATAAATGTGTGCGTTGCTCAAAAATATGCACCCATCCAAAATATATGAAAGATATCCGTCACATTTGGAGATATTTGAATAACGCAGAAACACAGACACCAGTATCTGATATTCTAAAAAACCCATTTAAATCTCAAAATGATATGCTTTCATCATAACAATATCTAAAGTTTCTTATGAAATGTAAATATATAAATTAATGTTAAAACAGATCCAAAGTGTAAAAAACATCTAAGCCAAATAGCCAAATCATTAATTTTAATTATGTTGAATCATCAACCATCTGCAAATATCAATATTGTTTATTAATATTCCAACCATGAAATATATTACATTCACACACCCACACATCTTAAAAGGCATTGGAGATTAAAAAAATACTAAAAAATCGAATTTAATAACAATCAGTCATTCTGTGAATATATCGCATAAAAATCATTGTGTTTATACAGAAAAGAAATAACTTCTCCTTTGTGGTCTCAGTATGCCCGATACAGGAAAGCTTAAGTAAATTGTGATGCAACAATATTAAAAAGAATATATAAGACAAGTTTCACAATCGACAAACATACATGACATTGTACCTCTATGTCGCAATCCCTGCAATCATGTTTACCGTTTCTTTCAGCCCTCTTCTTTCGAAATATGTAGGAGTATATGGCATGACATGTCTGTCATCATAAATCACGGCTTCACAGAGTACTAACACATTCCAGCAATAATGCTTGTCGTATATTATTCCCACTTGAGAAGAGAACGTCCTGAAAAAATCCTGTGAAGATGCGGGTTAGAATTGGTCTAAGAGGCGACTAACGGGATCGGGTGGTCAGGCTCGCTGAAGTGGCTGATGCATGCCATCGTATCCCAATTGCGTAGATCGTTTCCCATGAAATCAATCACTGGATTATCTGGTCCAAACTCTACAAGTTACAAACCGCGGTCAAAAAAGCTGGAATTTTGCTGAGTGTGGCGTTAAACAACAAACAAACAAAACACATTTTTGGAATAAACACTCTGTGAGTACAAATATCCGTACTCTTGAAACACTGCATGGGAATATTCGTATTAAGACATTCATACGTACTATCTGGTAGTACTAATGTACAACACAGAACACTTCTACCGCGTTTAACGAGCTATGCCTCTATGTAACACATAGATAGATGTTATCTGCAGGTACGTATATACTGGAATTACCTGTAATCCCAGGTGAAACACGTGGGAACAGTCGCTTGCAGAGTAGCACGAACTTCGTCCCGAAATAGGCGTTTAGAGTTTGCGGTTGGAATTCAGCTCAGTTTCTTGTTTTGACTTTTTCAATAAGGGAATTTGATTAATGTGAAAAACGGTAATCGTGTACGTGATCAACCGGCGTTCAAGTATAGCTGGTTGGTCTGGTTCTGGGTCGGGGAATTTCTAATTCTGGGCACGTCTGGGGTGATTTAGACAACGCGAAAAATCAATGTATATCAACTTGAGTTCAACTTGAAGGAAATACATAGCACAAACTGTTTTTATTTATTTAGAAGCATAAGATATCACGTTCAAATAGTCAATGATCTTTATACCTAGAGAACAGAATATTGTTTTCTCTTTTTAACAGTACACATATTCATTCATTCATTCATTCATTCATTCATTCATTCATTCATTCATTCATTCATTCATTTGTTCATTCACTCATTCATTCATTTGTTCATTCATTCATTCATTTTAATTTCGTTCTTAATGACGATAGTAGTATGTGGATGTATTACATATTTTCTATATATATATATTACGTATTTTATATATATATATATATATATATATATATATATATATATATATATATATATATATATATATATATATATATATATATATATATATATCCTTAATACAGATTAATACTTCTGCTTACAGAGAAACTGGCAATTGTCTCTTAAGATAAAGATTAAACCCTCTAATAACCTTAACATTCTTTTGGGACATCAGGGAGGCAAATCTCTGCCTTGATGGACCATGATGAACATAGCGAGGAATTAAACTATCTCTGCTTTTCTCGTAATATAGGGAAACTAGTGCAAAATAATATTCATCTTCTAATTCTAATAAGTCACAATTTTCAAAAAAAAATTAATTCAAGATTTATGAACTGTTTGCTAAACGCTATTTTTGTACTTTTAAACCATAATCATAATGTATTGAAACTATATCTGTTTACTGAACATTTAGCGCATAAAGCCAGACTTTTTAAATACTTCTTTCACGAATAAGCCGACTCTAACAAACTGAATGTGAACAAAATTATATAAATGAAATACATACATTATTTTTATTAAATAATTATTTACTCTCGCTGTCAATATAAATAAATGATTTAAAGCACTATAATTACAACCTGATAGAATCTTAAACACAACCAATTATGACAAATCTCTATTTTTGTTTATCTTCCTAACATTTTGATGAAAATATTTAATATTGAAACTATTCATTTTTTTTCGACCTACCGACCTAAATTTTTGGGCCCAAACCCCGTAAACCAACAGAGAGAACCTATAAGAGCGTGTGTGCAGTACATTTCACTACGTGACCCAAGCCACAGATGTGTACATGCGCATTAGGTGCAGGCGGTGGTTGCATTATAAGGATTAAACATGAATCGCTATACAGTGAGTTCGAGAGCAGCCCCGAGCAGTCATAACCGACGACAATCGCATGAATGCCAACGTACGTACATTGGGGAATGCGTACATCAGTTAAAACCCGTTACTCCAGACTTCGTTAAACAGAACACCCGCATGACGGACAATACGTTATGTGTACCTCTCTCTCTCTCTCTCTCTCTCTCTCTCTCTCTCTCTTTCTCTCTCTCTCTCTCTCTCTCTCTCTCTCTCTCTCTCTCGCTCGCTCGCTCTTTGTCTCTCTCTCCCTCTTTCTCTCTCTATCTCTTTCTGTTCGTCTTTCTATCTCTCTCTCTCTCTCTTTCTCTCCCTCTTACTCTCTCTCTTGCTCTCTCTTTTTCTCTCCTTTCTCTCTCTCCCGCTTTCTCTCTCTCGTTCCCTCATTCTCTCTCTCTCTCTCTCTATATATATATATATAAATATATAAATAATATATAAATATATATTTAAATAAACAATACTACACCCCTGATTCGCTAATCCAGAAATATGTTAATAATAACGAGCTCACCGGATTTTTTGTTATTAATAAGGTTTCGCTGTAAATATATTCCCTACATCGCGTGCAAATTTTTTTTAGAATTTTAATTATTTCAATGCATTGGATCATGTCTACAGTGAAAGGTATACATTGAATATAGGCTACAGAGTTAAATTACTCAGAATAAAATTAATAATTAAATTGTGTGTTTAATTTTGTTGTCAGGTTCTCTTTCCGGCATCATTGATTTGACATTAATCGGACGGCCCTCTGCGTAAACACGGGAGGGGTGGGGGGAATGTCGGCTTACAGTGCAGGTATATATGTAAATCTGAACAATGCAGGTTATATTATAACCCCAGACTAGGATCTGATTCATACAATCGCAATGCAGAAAATCATGTCAGTGCATCATCACCAACGCGACATTCAAGTACAGCGCGAACTGGAAGACATCGACATTCGGTTAATAAAAAAAAATGGAGTAACTATTTTTTAAGGAATCTTAGACGGGACATTGTCGCGTTGTCGCATTGTAGCTTTGTCGCCCATACAAAGACAAGCAGAAATTGTCAAAATTAACCACAGCGCGAC